GAGAGAGAGAGAGAGCATTGATAAACATGGCTTATGTCAAACATTGGAGTCATTGGTTGGCGGTGCTTTCCACTACACAAGGATTCTCATATGATATTATTTGGACAATAATTTCCCAACATCCCCTATTTTAAAAAGGCTACTTTCTTGTTTGGTTCAAAACCTAACATACTAAAATAAGATTTTGCAAATGTAAATGAATATTTCGAGACCATATCTACCTTTCTCTATATCCTACAAATTAAGGCACATTAAACTTGTTGTAGAAGTCATTGTCTAACCATGTGCTAAGGCACTTGTAGTTGTTGCAGTTTGGGATCGTAGTTCATAACAATGTTTTAGACATAGTTGAAGGATGCCCTTCCGGTGCAGCCCCAGCCTGGTCGAATCACCGTACTATTCTCTCCCAATCTTTTTAAATCTATGATCTCAAATTTTTATTATTGGCATTGGAAATCTCGATGATGGCTTTAAAATCAATTTCTGACCGTGATTAGGAAATTTGAGGCTAAAAAATAGTAGATTTTGCATATCTATGAAAACTTTTTTTTTTAGTGTGAAATGAATAGTTAGATAATTTGTTATAGGATGCATTATTTCTCGAGCTTGAAATCCTAATTTTTTTTCACAACCATAATGGGTTAAGGTTGAGATGGTTGATTTGAAGGTTTTTCGATGCTAGAATTGTAATTTTTTGTGGGTTTTGAGGTGAAGTTTTACTTATTTTGATAAGGCTGCAACCTATCAAAGCATGAAATATTTTTACATATTTAAGAGAATTTCATATACTGTAGATAATAATTTAAAAAGTTAAAAAATGAAAGGAACTTAACACTAAATACTAATGTCCTGTAATTTCCTAGGACGCATAAATATTTTTTTTTTGTCCTCAAACATAGGATTTTTTTTTTGTCATCAAACATAGGAGTTTCTATTTTTTTTATTCAAGAATATATCTTCAAAAAGCAAGAAGTCCCATTTCTTTGTCTATAAAAAGAGAATTTTAATTTTTTTTATTCAAGAACAAAAACATCCTTTTTTTGTTCTCAAACATGGAATTTTCATAAATTTAAGAGAATTTCATATGTGGTAGAAAACCATTTAGAAAGTTAAGAGCAAAAAGAATTTTACGAGTATATCTCTTGTTTTCCGTTTATTATTATCCTTCAAAGGCAATAAGTATCCTTCAAAGGCAATACGGGGCACCGGTTCGTTCTTATAGTTGTTTGGAACTATCAGTTTCGAACCCCATAAAGCAGTTCGAAGCTATCACTTTGGAAACCAACCCCATTTGGGAAAATAAACTGGTGGAACAAGTACTACTTTTGGACAGCATTACTAGTTCTAGACCGGACCGGTAGTTTTTTTGCAATTCTGTCGGTCCAAATGAAAATATATCGTGGCCAATGAATTGCATTAAGGTACCAGTCCAGAAATGGCACTTCCAGGCGGTTCAGATCAAGGTTTATTGCAACACTAGTCTAGAAGCGTTTTTTCTAGACAAGTGTGTTGCAATAAACTACTCGTTTGACAGGACTACTTCTCGACCAGTCTAAGAGGCTAGATTTTGCTTCAGTAGTTCCGATTCAAACTCCAGTTTCGAACGAAGTTTCGAGACAAAAGCATTTTGAAAAAAGTAAAAATACACACAAAAAAAAAAAGGACATCCCTGTAAAATTCAAATATCGATATATTTTCAACTCCGCAAAATTTACAGAATATTAATGTTGATTGTCCTTGCATTTTCAACACTCAAGAAAATGGTTCTTACTTTGTCAAAGACTGAATACGTTGCTTTGGGGCATGGGATTAACTACAAAAGCAAAAAGCAGTTTGAAAGATAAAGACTCATAATTTTTTTTAAAAAAAAAAAAAGAAAAAAGAAGAAGAAAGAAACAAGAAAATTTACAAGAGAGTAGTCACGTGCATTTATTCGAGCAATAGTTGGGGCATGTGAAAAGTGTGTAGACTGTGCACTTTGCTCTCCCTTGCATGGCTCAATGGGAAAGTAGCATAACAAAAATGAGAAAAGAAAAAGTATAGGTAGGATCTAAAGTAAACTCTTTCATCCATTGAACCTATCTGAAAATTTTGGATCCACTTTGCGCGAATAATTTAAAGAGAAACAAAAATTGTTATTTTTTATATATTGCATGATGTTCTCAAGTTCGTCTCGGCTTAAGGTACTCAGCCCTTGACTGAGGTGAGTCACCGAACCGAGTTTAAATGGACTCATCAAGTCATGTACATGATAAAAAATTCATAAAAATTTTTAAAAGTGAAAATTTTGTTAAAAATAGTTAAGAATAATAAACAGGTAAAATAACTAATAGAAACCATTAAATGTCTATAAAAGTCCAAAAATGTATATATAAGATGGACTTTTAAAAAATGTCTTAAAGTATTCAGATTAATAAAAATTAGTAAAATAAAGAAAGGTGCATGTAAAAGGTCCCAAATCATCTAAAAACCATATAAGTCATATATTAATGATTCTATATATTCGATCGCTCGGCCTAGGTTGCTTCAGCAAAATTTAGGGTCCTAAAAGTACTTCTACCTGGGGGTTTACCCAAGAGAGAAAAATGTATAGTTTGCTACCCCGGGAGCATAAAATCCATGTCATTTTAAAGAGCTTAACAAAGGCCGTGACTTGCCTATGCACACTTAATAAAGCTCCTCAATGAAAGGTATCTTTTGCCCATAGGGCTCCAACACGTTTCAGTGGATAACAATCTTCACCCATCCATTATTCAACAATTAAAAAGAATATATGGTGATTCTTTTTTCTCTCTAATGAAAGTTACAAAAGGAGACCCCATCTCTCGAAGTTTATTCGGGTAATAATCCTCTCTTAGTCCCGAGTTGTCTCACTTATCTATAAAATAAGGGATTGTATACAAAGAGACTATTTATTTTTGGTATAGGGAGGTCACAATTATTTACAACCATCCGATGTGAAATTTGATAACTTGAGTGTGTTACAAAGTTCGAGAACATTTATTTTGAACTTTGAGCTTGGTCAGTAAAATAAATGCAGCCACCGAATTTCACATCCAATGGTCAAGATTAATTGTGGTCGCCTTATACAAAAGGTAAATACTCTCATCATATACTTTCCCATTAAATAAATGTGTTTATCACACTCATACATGAACATAATATACATCTACTCTCTTGGGATGATCACCTACTAGGAATAATTATTTGACACTAAAATTTTGAGAACCGCCGAATAATCACCTGATGATTATTTCTAAAAAATAAAATTTGGATTTTGAGTTGTTTAACATTAGATCACACCCTTAAATAATTAAGCAATCTCTATTCAATCTAGAGGTATTATTTTTTTTCAAGCATATAAAAAGTGCAATTTGATTGTTTTTTAGAGATTAGTCTATGGGTTGAAAATGATGAATTACCAAAAGTTTAGGCTATAGTTTGGCGAGTACATTTTATAGAAGTTTAATACATTGTACTTAACTTATTCCTAATTGTTCTTGGAGGAGTGATTTTATGCAACGGTTGCATAGTAATATAATGCAGCAACCGTCAAAAGCCACGTCAAACCCATTTGTTTAATCTTAATTTTTAAATATATGTTGTTTTCAATCTAATGAATGATCACAAAAAAAGAAAAATTTGAAAATACACCTCAAAATATGTTTTTTGAGTGCAACTAATATAGGCCGTCCATTTTAATGAGATGCTTAGATCAAGGTTTTAGAAGGATTTTTTTCTTTGCAAAATTTTTAGATTGCTTTAGTATCATTAGATTAACAATGCTAAAAAATAAAAACATTATAAGTATTTTGTATTACAATCCTTTATCCTTTTTAGTTAGGGAAAAACATACAATAAGGCCATTTATTTTCGGTACAAGGTGGTCGCAATTAATTTTGAACATTATATGTGAAGTCAGATGGTTGCACTTATTCCATTAATCAAGCTAAAACTTCAAAAGAAATTTTTTTGAACTTTGTGACACACCCAAGCTATCGGATTTTACATTATATGGTTGTAGCGATTGTGATCTCCTTGAATAAAAAGTAAATGGTATAATTGCATACAATCCCCTTAGTTAGAATTCTAAACCATTGAGAATTTATTCTGTATCACTAAATCCCTTCTTTCTCTATTTTTTTGAAGAGATTGTATACAATGAGACTATTTACTTTTGGTATAGAGAGATCATAATTACTCATAACCGTCCGATGTGAAATTTAAGAGCTTGGGTATGTCACAAATTCGAATTTTTTTTGGAACTTTGAGCTTGGTCAATGAGATAAATGCAGCCACCCAATTTTACATCCAATGGTCAAAATTAATTGTGATCACCTTCCCTTCGTAAGCTTTTCCTTTTCGAATGATAAGCTTGAGGTACTCTTAATATCTCAACAAATGAGCAATTATATTTCGCATTTATAATTCTTTTTTTTGAAAATCAATTTTTGTTTTTTAGAATCTCTGTATGGATAAATCCCTGCCCTTTTTCTCTATAGCAATCAAAAGGATATCATCAGTGAGACCGTGACCATGAATAAATCAATTCCCTCTCTCTTTTAACAATTTTTCTTTTTTAGTCTTATCTCTATCTCTAACAATTAAGAGGGAATAAATCCCTTCCCTGTATATCTAACAAATCTTTTTTGAGTCTCTCTCTCTATAACCATTAAAAGGCGCTAACACTCAAAAGTGAGAATGCACGACATGCTTTATGGAGAAATCCCTCCCCCCTCTCACTCGCTATCTCAAAAAGACAGAAAAGAAAGAAAACCCTCCTCCCTGTTTCCATCTTCCTCCCTCCTCTCTCTAGGTTTTCTTCATTATTTTTCATTTAGTTGTTCATCTCTCTCTCTCTAGAAAGGCTTGGGTTTCCTAGAGTATATAGATCGAGGTGACGTTTCCCTTTCAAATTAACGCCGAGATTCGAGCTCACAGGTGTTGTATCACTGTTAATCTCTTTGTCCCCTTCTCATTCCGACTCTTTCTGCTTTTTTTTTTCTTTCTTTTTCTTCATTTTTATTAGCTTATGCTCTTCTTCCCTTCTCAACTCAGAACCAACTTTTTTTTTTGCAGGCGAGGCGTTCCACTTTATCTGAGCTTTCCATCCATTTGTGGTGAGTTCTTTTATCTGTTTTGTTGAAAGTTCAAATTTGAAAACCTCTTTAATGTTTTGCTTTTTGTATATTAATGGAAATGAGCCTCCTTTTTCTTGTTCAAGAACCTAGGGTTGTTCAGATTCTAGTTAAGTTTTATGAGTTTTTTTTTTCCAATTAAATTTAGCAGAAGAACAAAGGGGCGAGTTGTGAATGAAATTTATAGTTTTGTTCCCTTTCTCCTTTTTTTTGAGTTTGTATTGTTACCTGCTTCTGTTCTTTACTGATTTTTCTTTTCAGTTACATTTGATTTTATTGTTTTATTATCTATTAAATGTTAGGGTCTTGGTTAGTAAAGCTTACTGATTATCTACAAACTTGGTCGTTTTTGGTTGGTTAGGAGGATATGTGTGAGAGTGATTAGTTTTTTTTTTTTTCTCTTATTTGTTTTTTATTGATGACTGCATGTGGTCAGCTCAATATTTGCAATATGCAATATTACCAAGGTGGAATTTTCTTTTTTGATCAATGGGTTTTATTTCATAAGCTACAAAAAGAGATTTTCTTAGATATTATTTATTTCTGTTTACGTCATATCAAATTTCATGTTATGGAGATTTGGGCTTTCTAATATCTGGAGAGAAATGGGTGATTAATGTGGATTTTTAGGAACGAGTAGATTACTCCCTTTTTCTATTACTATGATAGCATCTTTCTGCCTTTATTTTATGAATTTCTTCATGAGTTAATGTGTTTACTGTTGCAGATTAGGACTGCCATGTTGGGGTTTAACATCTAATCTATTGATTCAAATCTTGGAAAGGATCAGTGGTTCATTGTCATCAGGAAATGCAGATTGCCTTGAAACCCACTTTTAAGAAACGTTTGTAAAATATTGGAGTTTCATCAAATAAGCGTTCTGATTTCACATGACATCAAATGTGTATACCATCCAAAGGTTATTGGAAGACCTCCATTGGTTTTGGCACCCAGTGCAGATATAGTTTGATCATGATTCAGTTATTGATGGAGAAACTCAATTCATATGATCCAAAACCTTCTCTATGGTGCTAGGAATAAATGATTTTTTTTGGGTACTGTAAATTTCAAACACACTTGAAGGGGGCCAATATTCTCAAGTTTCATACAACATAGCTAAGACGGGTTCTCTTTGTTGTGTGGCTGCAAGGCCGCATGCATCCAATGCAGGCAGTCGAGAGTGGTCCATGGGGCCTAATGAGCCTTACTGGCAAAATAACTCGAGCTTTTCTCCCCCCTTATCGAGAAGATGGGATTATAGATTTCAATCAGAAGGGTTGCCTTATGGATCTCATGGCGGTATCCAATTGTATGGGTCTTCATTGTCCTCTAATAGTAAAGAAAGTAGAAGTAGGGTGAGCAGTGAGAGGTTTCCAAATCCTCAGTATTCTGCATCCGATGGCATGGTTTCTTATATTAGCAGCCCATCTGATAGTTTTCAGACCCAACTAGGGACTCCACCTGTGCAAGGTGTCAATCTCGAAGAGTTTGTTTCTTCGGCAATTGGAGGTAAGAACTGTTACTTTGAATTTACTAGCTTCGCTTGGTTTTTAATATCTGTATCATAGGTTTAATTGGGTTTATTAAAATTTTGATTAATTTAGCCATATATTGTGAAGTGATATGGGATTGTTATGCTGATGCTTATAGCAAGTCGGCCTCACATAAATCAAATATTTATATTCTGTGGGCATCTGTAGTTTCAAATCTGAGTAGCTGACCATGTTCTTCACAATAATAACTGTAGTGCTTTTCATTCAACGAATAAAAAAAAAACTACAATGCAGTTAAGACTTTCCTTTCATTTGGAAAGGAGTTGTCTGAAGGGTGTAACTACCCAGAGATTGAAAACAGTAGCCTAATACATGTTGCTAAGGAAAATTTTAAAGGGAGTAGGTTGGTATTCCCAATGCTTGGCTCTTCTTTGACCTCTCCTCCTCTTAGCCAATACCTTAGAGCTTGAATGATTGATACAAACCCTGAGTTCTCCTTTGGACAAGGTCGGGCTTGCATTTAATTGCAGAAGCCTTGTAATAGAGTACAGAAGGGATCTAGGTGATGGAAGACTAGTTGGTGGTAGAAAATTTGTTAATACAAGGGGTCAAAGTTGGGATTTACTGCTTAAGTGCAGCAATTTGCTACTGTAGAGAAGATCTTGTAGCACGGATGGGGTTACTGCCTAGACACAGGGAAGATGACAGGTCGATAAAGTCCTCCTTCCGACACCATTGAACTGAAGATTCTCGGGAACAGCTCCAATTTCAGTTGGAAAGGATAACTTGAGGCTGAATATTACAATAAAAAGAAATCAATGGAAAAAGGGTAGATAGCATGCATGGTGATTATATGGGCTAGGGCTGCTGGGTGGAAGTTCTGGAGGCTTCCGGGGAGAGGGAGTTGAATGATCAGAAGAGTAGATGGATGAGTCAAAATTGGTGGGGATGGGGTGGACTTTGCTATCATTCAGTCATAAAAAATCTAACATAGATGGTAAAAATGGCCTTTTTAATTGGCGGGGCCATGCGTTTCTTGAAAATCTTTTCTCATGACATCAAATGATATCTGTTCTTTCCTGGAGTGAATGCATGTTGTCATATGGGGATGCTTGAGAATGAGATCTTATATTTTGAATTACAAGGCTTTTATCATGGTTGAGGTAAGAGGAATGGGATCTGTGCCTTTCTTGGAATGCAAGGCTGTTGTCTTTTTTTCTTTTTTTTTGAAATAAGGCTGTTCTCCCGTATGAGGTAAGAGGTATGAGTTCAGGAGTTTCTTGTGATTTTTGTGGGGATGATTTTGAGCATGTATTCTGTCTGGAGTGCCCTGCAGCATTGAAATTGTGGGTTGGCATTCCCTGAGTGTTTTTGCGTGTGCTGTAATATATAGTTTCCTAAGAGACATGTAATAATGTAGATGCTAATTAGAGTGCATCCCACTTGTCCATCTTTAGAAATAAGTTACATGTATAAAGTTAGTTGATAATTAGATTACATCTCTTGTCCATCCTTTCTACAAATGGTTAATACTAACTTTCTTGTGATGACTATTTTCATTTTGACCATGTGCCCGTATTGTTTGTCTATGGCTGTCTGTTACCTGGCCTTGCAACTGTGGCATAACCGTTTAGTGTTTGGACTTTTGGACTCAATCTAAAGCTCTGATGGGGTTACGAGGACATCTTTGTGGTTGTTGTACTTAGTTTTCTTCCTGGCATTCTATTTCTGGTGATGCATCCTTAGTTTCAAAAATCTGAGTTCTATCTGTCCATCTCTGTTTGTTCTTGAGCTTGATGTGGAGATCTTGCAGTTGCAAGGTTGCATTATGCGAAATTAGCTGGTTGAGATGATGTGCAATTGAGAGATAGTGGCTTTGAAATATTCTGGAAAATTGAAGCATGTTGGTAATAGATTTTTTCATCTCCAATCAAGGTTTAAAAAAACACTAGGTGGCTCCTAGGCGGCTGGCCTTGTGCCCAGTGCCTAGACAGCCGCCCTGACCCCTGTAGTGAAAATTATGCAGATATATGCAGATATGTGCTGTCCAAATGTACATATATGCATATATTTGTTATCTTTGTAATTTTGTTTTGCATGTATATGCATTATAACAAACCTTTTTTATACGAATATATCACATGTTAAGAATAAACATGTTCAAAACTTCAAATTATAGAAAATTTAGTGAGAAAACTTAAAAAACTTCATAGATTTGGGACTTAGAAAAAAATAGATTTTTTTCCTTCCAGTAATCAACTAACACCTACCACCTACTCCTCTCCCAACATTCACATCAAAAAAATCCCCCATTATTCCTTGTCCAACTAGCTCAGTAATCAAGTAACGTACGCCAGGCCTGGGTGCCAGTACCTGGCCACCCACCCAGGCGGCCTAGAAAGGTGCCTAGGCGGGCATCCAGCGCCTAGTCCTGGGTGGGTGCCCAAGGCCCGCGCCCTTTTCTTGAGAACAAAGCACTTTGGGTCATTTTTTACCAACAATATTTCCATAAAAGGCCTTTGAGAATAACCCTAAAACAACATACTGGAATATAAGCCCCAAATCTATTGATTTTGAGATCTTTGTGAATGGAAAAAAAAAATTCTAAGACTTTTTTAAGTTTTTTCACTAAATTAGCTAGCATAAGTTACTACTTAGAATGCATTTTTTGGAGATCAAAGTTGAGGATCTTATAGTTCAGGGAGTGAAAATGTAATTCGTAGTCTGACTGGGACTGGGAATAAAGTTATCATTTGAGATGGTAATGAAGTTTTTGTTTTTTTGGGGGTAGATCAGTGCTGAAGGGGGTCCCTTACTCATGATAGGAATGGAACTCAAGACATGATGGTATAACACTTTCCACCCTGACCACCTATGCCTTGAAGGAATACAAAAGGTAATGTGATCTCTTTGAGGTTATATTTGGTCTCATGTTGCTATGGGTTCACTTGATCTTTTTGTACAAGATGGATTGGGAGGGAGTGGTTAGAGCCATTTTCATAGATGATGAGGTGCTTTGTTGTTTTTCTTTACTAGGGATTGAGGCATTTTAAACACAAGGTTGCCCACTGACTTTACCATACATTCTGGATCATTTCCAAGAGGATTTTATATGAGTGCTTGTGGCCTTGTGGGACATTTTGTTTGGGATGAGATGTTGGGAAAGGTTGATACCATTCAATGCAATGAAAAACAGGAGGATCCCACCGTGTTTTTTAAAAAATCAAATTTTAAAAATAAACAATATCAATTCATACATCAGATTGAATGTAATATTTTATGGAAAATTGTTTCATGCGGACTGGACTGCATTTCTACAATATGAGGTCCAGAGGTATAAGGCATCCATCTAAAAGACGGATGCAAATAGGTGGTCCATCTAAAAACAATTGTAACTAACGGTCGAAATGTTTTTTTAATATAATTATTATTTTTAGTTTTGAATTTTTTTTTTTCATATTTCGTGATCTCTATGTTAAAGATTATATATTCTCTAAAAATTAGGATCAAATTATATTTAAAAAAATATATTTATTGCTAAGCTCGCATTTCTACAATACGTGGGCTGGCCGCATAGAAACCGTGTCCATATTTTATTTATATTGTTTTCCATTATAGTTTGTATGGTATGTATCATTGTATTAGGGCGTGTTTGAATATGCACACATGCAGTGCGATTATGGCTTCGTAGGATTCTTTATATTTATGTAAATTGTTATATCCACAACACTTTATGCATAATCTTGTGCAGTTGCTATGAGATGTACATGATTCCTGCTATTGTTGAAACCAATGGTTTAAAAAACAGATCGGTGCCTTCGATCGGGCATCCCAAAAACCCATTCGGATCGGTGAATCGGCGATCTGGATCGGGAATCGGCCCAGTCGGTCGGATTAAGCCTTACAAAAAATCTAAAAAAATTATTAAAATTCATTATAAATGTTATTTTTTAGGAATCCAATAAGAAACCGGGGTACTACATTATTAACTTTCATTTTTTTCATCAATATACAAATATTCAGATGTTCTTTCCCTATATGAACTTATTTTAACCATTAAATTTACATCACACAATAGAAAAATCATGGAATTATCATGGATGAATTATATAATCATACATGGACTGCAATAAAGAATGGTTTAAATTGATGAAAAAATGGCGAATTGGTGGAGAACTCTAATCATTTAAGAAAAACCCAAAGTATTATAACCTAACTAACTATAATCCAAAATTACTGAAATTGAAATTGTTGGTTTACATTTTATAATTATTTTATTATACAAATAATAACAAATTCAAAATATCTTATAATATCATCTAATGTAAAATATACTATTGACAATTGTAAGAAAAATAGTATATTATATCATTTATACTGCAAATAAATTAATAAACAAAATAAAGATTTGGTTATCAATGTAGAAATTATTAGAACGCGTACCAATTTTCGAACCTTTTATTTTTATTTTTTACAAGAAATACTTGTTGTATTATCTTTTATTTTTTTGACAAAAACTTTTTTTTTTTGACAATAAATAATTGTTGTATTATCTTTTATTTATTTTTGACAAGAACCTTTTATTTATTTATTTGACAAGAAATGTTTGTCATATTACTTTTTTTTTTTTTTAGCAAGAACCTTTTTTTTTGTGACAAGAAATGCTTATTGTATTACCTTTCTTTTTATAAGAACATTTTTTTTTTTGGAGAAGAATTTTTTATTACCTTTTATTTTTTTGACAAAAGCCTTCTATTTTTTTGACAAAAAAAGGAAAATTGACAAGAAAAGAAATTGACAAGAACCTTTCTTTTTTTTTTTTGACAAAAGCATTTTATTACTTTTTACAATAACCTTTTATTTTTTTAATAAAAAAAAGAAAATTTGACAAGATAAGAAAAAAACAAAGTTGCAAAAGCGAGCTCCATGTGAAGACTTGAACCACCAACCTCCATGTACATGACGTTCACGCTAACCGGTACACCACATGCCACGGTATGATGTAAATAGCCCAAATAAATTAGTATAATACATTGTTGTTTCATGTTATTACCTGTTCTCCACAGTATCCCACATCGAAAAGGTGGGATATGCGCGAAACATGCGTGAACCAATGTTGTAACACGTGCGAACCAAGCCGAAGTCCCTTGGCCAGCGCCATATGGCGAGTTTGGTGTAATGTTGGATCATTGGTCCATTTTAACGCACGGATTACTGTAGCAACCGCCAGATTACTGTAGCATAACCGCCCATACAAGTCAGAATCGGGCGATTAATGATGTCATATAGCGAGTCTATTGTGTTGAATCGCCGGTTCTTCTTTAGAACCGGGGCGATCCAGTGTGTTTTAGCGGAATCAACACGGGCATACCGATTCCCATGCGGACTCGGGGCGAGTCTGTTGCGACTCGCTGACTTTTAAATCACTGGTTGAAACCTTTCCATGCAAGCCAGTCTCCTCCATACCAATGCTTTATCCATTCAGTCATTGCTTTACTTTTTCTCCCCTTGATGGGCCTCTCCTTACTTTCACTCATCATATGCCCATTATTTGAATGATTTCTTTCCCCATGTGTATTTTGAACTTATGAAGTGATTATGTGTTGACATTTATGGTAGCTTGCCCGTCTTTTGCTCCTTATAATGCCATTTGTATAACTTGTCCTTACAGTTTCGGCTGAGACCTGCTGTCAAAAACACTGATTTCACGGTGTGAAAATTCTCTATGTAGTCCTCCCCATGGAGTTTTCTCATGTCTGTTTTTTCAAAATTTTGAGGTTTTATTGTTTCCCTATTTCTTAATGCTATTTAGGAAGCCCATGGTCTTATTGCCCTTTTGTATGAAGTGATTTTGTTCTGCCTTGTAAGTGATATTTTCTGTAGGAATTGAGGCTTCACATTTGTTACTTTTCCTGCTCCTTATGGTGTCATCTTTTCTTTCTATGAAGAGGGTTAACTGATAAACATTCTTATGGGCTTTAATTCTATTGAAACATTTTGTTGGATCTGTGCCTTCCGTGTGTTGTTATTCTTCTTGTTCCTATATTCTACAATCATTGGTTTGCACCTCATAACATATGTATCTAGGACCAAACTATTCTTTTTCCTGTGCCCTTGTTTGTAAGTTTTTTCAACTGCAATTTATATGTGCCAATTCTTTTGTGCTAGTTCTTATCAAATGATACCATGTTGCATAAGCATCTTTTTGAAAACAGACATGATTTATGTCCTCTTTCCATGTGACAAAAACTGATCTGGAATGTTGTACATGACTGATGGACCAAATTATACAAATTTGCAAACTACTTTCTAATTTGTTCATATTGAGTGGGAGTTTGTGGCCTTATCGCATAAGACTCGGGAGTCGGCGAGCCAACTCAGACCTGTCACCTGCCCGGTTTTGTGTTTTTAATTGCCGGTATGAATGATTCAGTTTAGTGGCAATACATAGTCTCTGTCAATCGTACCATGGTGATATAGATTATTTAGCCTGTATTCTTAATCTTATTTACTGTTATGCTCATTTATGTGACCTTTACTTGGAGAACTCTTGCTGACGAGAGTCCGCCTTGATGATATGCCAGGACCCTCAGCTGAACCAGCTCCATTTTCACCATCAACTGAGGTAACTACTGATTTTCAGGTCTTTTTTTTGAAGTTTATATTTAGGGAAATTGTACTATAATTAGATGGGCTATATTACATGATACTCCATGCCTAACAGGCACCGTATATTCCCAGTGGGAGCCACTGGGGATTTTTTCGATTCAGTTGATCTCCAACCATCCATCAATGGGAGTGCATGGGGAACTTGGTGTACCACATACCATTATATTTTGACCATGATAATACTTGAATTTGTTTTTGTACCCAAATATCTTTGAGATAGACCATTGCTTCTTAACAGGGATTCACTTCGACGGTCCCATACAGTGTGGGGTCCACTTCCTCACAATCCGATGCTGGTGATGGAGAAGCTACCTTCAAAACCCACACATACACTCCCTCATCCAACCGAAACTTCTCGACCCGCTACTCTTTCATGTCCAAACCTGTTTATCCTCTGTCACTGCCTAATCAACTTTCTCTCTCAAGCCAAACGCCCGAGTTCGAGTCTCTCAATACCAGCACCACCAGGTTAACACCCATCGACAACAACAATTACATGCCCCTCGATCTCAAGTACCTAAGATCTCTCACAGAGTTATCTGGCTTCCAAGAGATCGATTTTTCATCCCAAAGAGACCAAGGGCTCAGATGGAGCAGTGCAAGTAGCCTGGATTTTACTGAAATTGCCCTCCATCTCGACCCTGAACACACTGGAACCTCAAACAGTCTATCTGGAAGCCTTAAATGTGCTTTATGTGAGAGATTACTTTCTCAGAGGTCACCATGGAGCTCTCGTCGAATTGTGAGGAGTGGAGACATGCCAGTTGCTGGAGTCCTATCATGCTGCCATGTCTATCATGCCGAGTGCTTAGAGCAAACTACCCCCAAAACTCAGAAAAGTGATCCACCTTGCCCACTTTGCATGAAGGCCAACAGCGATGAGGCAGGGGCAGTTTCAGAGCAACCTGTGGTCTTCTCTAAGGTGATGAAGTATGGGTTTCCAAAGCTCAAAGATGATACTGGTGCCGCCTCTTCTTCGAGGGGTTGGGGGGCTTGTGGACAATTTGGGGATTGTGTTGAGGTCCCTCCAAGGAATAGCATGTCATTGTTAAGCAGGAGTAGACTTAAGAAGCACTTATCACTGAAGGGGAGTTCTGGCAAGGGTTTGCCGGATTCCAGCAAGGATCTGGTAGATCCCAGCAGGTTGAGGAAGATCGGGTCATGTTCTTCACAGGTGCCAAGTGCTCGGAAATGGCAGTCAGGTTGTCGATGAAGATATGAGGATGGTAGGTGTAGTAAGGCCAGTCTGTTTTTTTTTTCACATGACAGTTTCTTAGTTTTGGCCTTTTTTGATGTTCATTTGCCAGGATTTCATGGTTGTTATGCGATTGACCCGGATATACAAAATGTATTATGAATTAATAACTATATACAGCTCTGATCATTGATCTTTGCTGGTCTTTTTTTTTTCTCCTTTTTTCTTTACGAGTCATGAATTTCACATTTTCAGGAATATCAAGCTCAATCGACATGAAATAAATTGCTTGGCATTTACTGTTTGGTGAACGATGGTTGTTTCTCCATTGACAGGAATGTTTTAAAAATTAAGTTTATTTGAAATTGGGGGCTTAGTGGTTTAAGTCACAAGGTTTGCAGCTATGTATTGAATTCTGGTGACAGGGATCCATTATTGAAAAAAAATAATTAAGAGGTTTATTGAAATATATCGTCCAGAATATAGAATTTATTGTTGTTTTATGACCAAATTTTTTATGTTTTAACATATATACTAGTTCAAGAAAATATAGCACAATTTCTGGAATATTAAATTTCTCCTTGTTTTCTCATCCAAATTTTTATACCATAGATACTAATTTGATGAAAATATAAATTCTAAATAATGAAAAATGAATAAAAGGAATCATAAAAACTTTAGATAGATTTTAGAACTATGAAAATGATTATCATTTTATATATTTGTTTGTTTCAATTTTTAAGGGGTTATATATAAAGCGGAACACTGATGTAAAATTGGATGGTTGGGGAGTGTATTTTTATTTACAAAATTCAAGAACAATTATCTCGGACTTTGATGGTGATCAAAGGGACGTGTCCAACTGTTGTAGTTATATATTAACATTTGATAGTTAGAGGTGAATTAGATGTTTTTGTACTAAAGATATATCTATAAAGATCTTTTTATTAAAAAGTTTTCCAGATGTTCATGCACACACCTGCACGTGCTTACACGTGTCTATTGTTTGCAACTTTGCATAAATGTCTAGAATACTTGGAAGTACTTGAGCCAAGCTTTTAAGAAGGCTCTGTGGTGAATTCATCTGGTTGTTTCTTCTCTTATATCTTGAAATTTGTGGGCGTAAATAATGAGATAGTGAGCTGTTTACATTATTATGTGAAATTCGTATATTTTCGATTAAGAACAAATCATCATCTTCATCATCAAAGATTTTTTTTAATTAATTAAGATCGGCTACACAAATTTTAGTTCGCCATTTTATTCTATTAAGAATCATATTCTCAGTGAGGTTATAATCATTTTATCGATCAAAAGTTCCACATAAACGATATTTTGCCATGAAAATCTCATCATTGTTTAGCCCTAAAACCTAATGCGCCATTGTTGCTTGCAATACGTCTTAAATTTGATAACTAAATCATTTGTATTTTAATTCAAAATGTTGGTATTGGAGCCATAGAACCCAATAATAAGTTGTTGGATCACAAAGTACAATAGAATAAACTGACACTGCAAAATTCGGAGTTTCTTTTAACTCGAAATGAAATCAAATAGGTTGTTTTTAATCTTTGATTTGATATTATTTTCTATTATTTTTTCTATTTTCTACTTTTTAAAAATCAGCTGAGTCGGCTCAGGCGATTCATCTAGTTGAACTTGGATTGTGTGTAACGGGTTCAACCCACCAGCTTCGTTCAAGTTTTTAAACCTTGCGCTGAAATATTAATATTTACCGACTTCGATTGGTGGATAGAACTAGTCACCAACCTGCCTAAGTCAATACGAATGAATCATCCAGTAGCCTCGGCCGACTCGGACATTCTTAAGAATAATTAAAAAAAGGAGTAAAAATAGAGAAACCGAAGAAAAAGTAGAAACGAGGGAAATCAAATATTGAAAATTGACCTATTTGATTTCAATAGTGGTATAAATTAAATCAATTTGGAAAAACAATGGTAGAAAAAAAAAAAATTGCTAAAAGCATAAACCCATATTGAGATTTTTGGTTTTGATTCAAATTTTTTTTACTGAGGCTTTTGTAGATCAATGTGTTACAAATATTTGGAAAAATTTGATTGAGTTAAAACATCGATAGAGAAATCGAAAATTTAAATTTAGGCTTAAAAAAAACTGTCGAAATTTGGAATATCGCTTTATTCTATTTTACTTTGTGATCCAACAAATTGTTATGGGGTTGGAGGGCTCCAATACCGACACCTCAAAAGATAATTTGGTCAAGAAATGAGAAAAAAATCATAAGAAATGTGAATTGGGGTTTAAGGCTTAAAAAATGATGAGATCAAATTTTGAGGTTGACAAATCTCATCCATTTGTCCGCCCGATCATTTTTTAAAAGAGGATAAATAAGTTTTGTTTGGTTTCATGGGAAAAACTTTTGAAAGAGTATACAAAACGACTATTTATTTTTAATACAAAGAAATCACAATCATTATGTTCATCAAATTTTAAATCCAATGGTTATGAGAATGTCATTGACTTAAAATTACTGTAGACTCCTTGTAAGAATGATAATTGATCTCCTCGTATACAATCTCAAGACTTAAGGATATGAACTTTCCTCACCCAAATTGATACCTCTCCCACTAAGGTGTGGGGGTACTACGACGAGAACTCCAGCCTCCAAAAGTCAAGGCAAAAGAGTTTGCTTGAGTCTCGGAATAGATCAATTTTACTGTTTAGAACTTGTATTTTAGAAAAATAGAGGACTATGTTTAATTTGGAACTTAGAAAAATAGAGGACTATGTTTAATTTGCTATAACAATTTTGACCTTAATAAGAAGCTCTAGACTTTTGGCAATCCATTTAAGACTTTAGTTGATCATTGTAATTAGGGAAAATTATGTAAATATCTGTTATAATTTATGTTATTACCAAAATACGAAATACTTTCTATTATTACTTGCATGCCGTTTTTTCATTTCATAACGACTTTTTTTTTAAAAAGACGGTTTTACTCTTTTTTCGGTTTTTCAAAAACCGAAATCTGGCCAATTTTGATTATTGAAAAGCCGAAATTACTCTGACTCGTTTAAACCCTACGAGCTCTACTTCTCTCACAACATGCGAACTTTGGGGCTCCTCTCTCTTCTTTCTGTATTTTCTCTCTCTCTCTCTTACCTCTATCACAAGAAAACCCATTCTGTAATTAAAAAAAAAAATGTAACCAGAGGGATTTTAATTGCATTTGATGGATTTTGAAGGCATTTGACAATTTTCAAATTTGTATTGAAGATATGCATATAATGATTTGTTGTGCGATTTTAGATATTTAGATTGTATAAGGTTGTAATTTAGGGTTTCATATTTGAGTATAAGAGGTCGATTTAGGCTTTATTCGACGGATTTCACAGTTCTATAAGTATGTTAATTTGTTTGAGTGATATTTGAGGTTTTTAAGAACTGCAAATTTGGGTTTTTTTTCCAGAACTAGAATTTATACAAGATATTCTATTGAGCTAATTATGCTTTTTAGTTGCAAATTTTAGTATATCTGGAACTAGAAAATTATGTTGATTCATAAAATCACAATTTTTTTATGAATCATGTTAGTTTTATCAAGAGATTGGTTGTTGAGTATGATACAAAGTTATGAATATGAAATTTCCCTTATATTTATTTATTTTTATCATGCTTACCATTATTTATGATCATAATATTTTAGTGGGTGAAATTGGTAAATCATGAGTTGCCTTTTCTAAGTCTTATTAGAATTCATATATCCTTACTGTCATTTATTCTTGATTGCTTCTTCTTGTCATTCTTTTCTTCTTTCTTATAGGAACTTAGATTCTCTTACATAGTTTTAAGTATACATTTGTAATAGATATAGTGATATCTTAGGAAAGGGTTGAATTTTTCTTGTTGATAGATTGAGTAACTTATAAATGAAAATTTGGATCCGATTTATGATGCATGTATTGAACATTTTACAAATGCTTGTGGTTTTAGGAGTACTTAGAAAATAAAGAACTTTATGCTTTATGCTTCAATATTTTTGATAGAATAATTTAAAGACCAGATTTATTTGAGAGCTCATTCGATCTCTAAATTTGTGACTACCTATTTGGAGGTTTAATATGTGACTTGGCATTGTTTCATTGACTCTATATACAAATGCGTGATGAGTTCTTACTATTTCGATATTCAGTCCTTTGTATTATCATGTTCTTTTCATAGATTAATACTTTTTATTGTAATGGTTAATAGTAAATAGAGGAAAATGACGATAAGCCAAGTCTAGTAATGGAACCTATAGGTTGAATTGAAGAGCTCCATAACACTAGGTTATGGTATAAAATTGACCATATTTGCTATTTAATAATAACATGTCATTGTTTATCAGTTATTCAGTTAAGTTTTACATCTGTAACCTTATGATTAACATGGTAACTATATGGGGTTCCAGTGATTATGGATTATATCCATCTAGATGGGGCATACCCTGGAGGTCCTGAGGACCCCAGTTTGCTGCAGCTACATAACAATCATTCGTCGTATTATATATGGGAAGGACAAGTATATAAATATATTCATCTTTTTTTTACATTAGCTCGTTATTTTTAGTAAATTGTAATATGTTTAAACATCATAGGGGTAGTATATGTGTATATATTGTGACCCATACGTTGTATATTTGTTGTATTACAGGAGAAAGCAGAGATAAGAATATATTCATCTTTTTTTACATTAGCTTGTTATTTTTACATTATTTGGTTGAACATACTAGTCGACTTAATATCATATGGGACAAGACCAAAGGGAGTTTAGAAGGCCCTTTTAAAGTATTCCACTATGAAATACTGACTGCAGTTCACAGTGGGATCCAAGTACATATGGTTAATAGTCGCAATGGCATGACTACATGGTATGCCATAGTTGCCATTTCCTACAACTGCATATCCTTTAATCGACATCGTACTTCTTCTATACATAGTGGATCTCAAATTGTGTATCCATGATGGATATAACATGGTTTAAAAATCTTGCCTTCATCTTTCGCAAGTCGAGTAATTCTTGGACTTTTGGTATTAGCAAGCCGCTCCAACCATTAGCTAACTCCCTTTTCTCTTCAAACCTGGACAAAATCCATGCATTGAATGACTCAACTATGTTAGAGGTAAGATGATTGTATCTAGCCCCTAGAAATAGGCATCTGCCTAAGATTTGGGAGGGATATTCTTAATCCACAC